ACAAACCAAAAACCTTCTCATTAGTAAATCAATTTTGCTCCTATTTAAGGGGAAAAAACAACACCACAACTAAACACACTAACAAACAAGCACAAACCCCCCAGGCCCCAAAACACAAACAGGCAAAAACCTCAGTCAGATCAGGTTTTGACCCAACTCTGACTCTCTGCTGTAATTCAACTCCAAAAAGCTTAAAAAGCTTAAGTTGGACAAGAGTACCACAGAAAGGGTTCTGAGCAACAGGAGCTAAGATGAACATAAAACAGGCCTTAGAGTTTCTCATTGCAATTCCTCCTTCCTTCACTTTATTGAAGCTGCATATTGCAGTTGCAGATGAACATTACCTTGCATAGCAATTAGTTGTGCTCACATTAAGAGTGTAAAAACCCCCTAAAAACGCCAGGGTTGGTCTACAAACATAACTAAGCTTAAGTAATTAAAAGGTTTTGTGTTGAGAGAGAGGTACAGGTCAAAACTTTGCTGTTTACATGTAAGCCGGGGCAGTTTACATTTGCTGTTTGTAATCTAAAGACCACAAATCATTACACTGTTGGTAATGGGGATTTATTTGTTTTGTTACTTAGAAGTAAAAAGACAGTGCTTTATCATTTCATGTCTGTTTAGGAGCATCAAAGAAGAACACGAAAAACTGAGCTAAGAAACATAGTCTCTCTTATCCCCTTTCTTCCTATTTTCTATTTAATCTATCCCTATGCTGCCATCAAAGCAGTCTCATGTCTAGAAAAATCCTTTTTACCTCAAACTTACATTGCAAATTTTGGCTTCCATCTGTCCAAGGACAACCTCAGTCCCAGAGAGATTCTGGTTTGCCATTTTCCTTCCCTTCAGCAGTGATTCAGGATATTAGTGAATGACATGCACAGTGGAAAACCAGATTTCAGATGGCACCAGATCCAGGACAGAAGTGGGTTTGTGTATTAATAGGAAAAGCATTAAAAGCAGACCTTTTGCACCATCTCCATTGTTAGAAATGCATTTTCTGCCAAGCAGTACTGTAGAATCAAATGTTGCTGTTATTTATTTGAAAATGTGTCCAAGGGCTGAGATCAGATCCTCAAAGTGCCACACTCCACGTACCAGAGGATCCTGTAGAGCTCCCAATCTACCTCAGCCAGAAAAGTAAATTCCCTGCAGGCAAACTGAAGCACACAGCAGCTCCCTATCCATTTATTAATTTGTTGATCAGTAGCAAGATCAAGAAGGAAGTTAGGTTTTCTCAGTGTCATTTTAGTTTTCTGTCACTGAATTACACATATCTTTCAGGGTTTATTTTCCCTGGTCTTTAGGAATGTATTGTCCCACCACTCAAATTTTTTAGGTCTATTTACATTTCACTAGGAACAGGAAAGTCTGTTCCATGGGGTAAAGAGGCAGAAACCCCAAGTCTTTTCCACTCTTTTCTTATTTTGATAGCTGAGTTTATAGATATTCTTAAAATATTCTTAGAAGTTCTTAAAGGTCCATGCAAGTCTAAATTCGTATTCAACATGTAGATTCAGCTGATGAAATGACACAACCTTCAATTATTGTAATTGACAGCTCTACCTACCATCAGTAAATATCCTCCTTTTATTTTTTTGTTTCCCAGTCACAAGACATTTCTAAGATTACACATGGCTATAAAACATTTGCAGGATTAAGCTGTTAGGACCTGGACTCTGGTGGTTTAAACCCATTTCCAGGATATTGTTACACTTAAATGTGTGTCATTAAAATGTAGCTAAGTTAATATAAAGGCTGCTTCTATGCTGCAGTATTTCTAATAATAGCATTTATTTTTTCCTTACTCATTATGAAATCCTCAAGCATTTCAACAGGACCACAAACCAGAACTAAAGGATTTTTATGAAAGTGTAAAAATGCCTGGCCTTTTTCAGCTATGTAAAGGGTCATGAGAATCATTCTCACTTACCTTCCAAAAATGTAACCTCCCACCAGCTGGAGGACACCAAAGATGGTCTGGAGATAGCCAAATCCCACTGAATCCAAACCTAGGCTCTTTGCCAAGTACTAAAAATGAAAACAAAACACAACACCCCACCAAAATCAAAAAACCAAAACCAACAAATAAATGAAAAAGAAGCATGCTATATTTATGAATAAATATCTTAATATCTGTGTGGAGAGGATCACAGCTCCAAACAATCACTTCCTTCGATTCCCCACCCCTATAGAGGAAATCTTCATCGGGCCACGCACTGGCAGCTTAATAAAGACCAAATGTCTCTGTTCCACACCCTGAAGACAGGAAGATGTGATCAAAACCATCTATTTTGCACCAGATGACAAGTTTGTATCACCATTTACCTTTGCACACGCAGCTGAACATATTCAGCAACTGCTAAGGTGGGTAAGGGAACTTTTAAATGCCTTCCTGCCTCCAGCCCCTGCACCTGAACAGCCCAGTCACCCTCTGGGAGATGATTGTGGAAAAGCCTTGGAGCTGTTGTTTAATCAAGCAAGCCAGAATCGATGCAAGAACAACAGGAGCAAATATTGCCTTTGCTGGATGGCACACCCACAGCCTGAGCTTGCAGAAAACACAGATACACACCTTGAAGAGCCAATGGGCTGTTATTTCTGATTCATGTTTTTGTTGTGTCTTGTTTTTGTTTAGCCTGGAGGTGCAGGGAGACCTCATCTCTCTCTACAACTGCCTGAAAGGGATTGGTAGCCAGGTGGGGTCAGTCTATTCTGACAAGTAACTAGCAACAGGGCAAGAGAAAATGACCTCAGGTTGTGCCAGGGATGGTTTAGACTGAATCTTGTGAAACGTTTCTGCACTGAGAGGATTGTCAAGCACTGGAACAGAGCGCCAAGGGAAGTGGTGGAATCATCATTGCTGAAGGTATCTTAAAAATATGTAGATGTGGCACTCAGAGACATGGTTTGGTGGTGGACTTGGCAGTGTTAGGTTTATGATTGGACTCAATGACCTAAAGGGTCTTTTCGAACCAAAAATCCTCACTGATTCTATGAAATCAGACAGAAGAGTCCAGTAAGTGAGAAGCAATTAATCCCAATGAGCTGGTTAATTATGCACTCAGAAAAACCCACCTTTGATCTGAAACCTCTGCTTCCTGATAGCTGCTAGCTGGGTCACTCACAGTCCATGCAAGAAGACACAAACCAGGCCAAGAAAGGGGTCTAGGTGCTACTGCAGCCCAAGTAATAAAGCAGCTTTTATGGCCTGGGTTTACCCTGGACAGAGACATAGCCTGCCTGCTTGGTAAGAATACTAAGTATTCCTTTCAGTTTCAGTTCAGGATACCTTTCCCCTCTCCTGCTAAAAATTATCTTCTGACTTTGCTGGAAAACTACAGAGCCCAGCATTGAAGGAAATGTGCTGTGAAGCAAGAGAACTCATACTCACAGGCATGATTCCCATCTGCATGAAGAGGAAGGTGAGGTCTAGGGCTGCAATCACATAGGCAACATAGATCACTTGTCGCCTTTTGGCTTCCCCCAAGGTCTCATTCCTCATTCCTGAGGCTTCTTCCTCACCTCCAGAGCTGGTTTTTGCATTCATGGTGCTCACAGAATGCCTTGTTGCAGGAGAGGCTGGCAAATGGCACGAAGGCACTTGCTGGCTGTGGATGTGAAGCGTAGATAAGGCACACGAGCTGTGTGCACAGTTCAAAGCTTACGGTGTGAAAGGTGCTAAGTCAGCATGCCACAGATTTATTCTTTCTTTCTGTCTTTCTTTTTTTCCCCTCTTCCCTTTGCTTACTTGCTAGGCAGGATCAAAGGTAACCACACATCAAACCAGGGATCTGGTTCTCCAGCCTCGTCCCAGGTGGGCTCAGTGCCCCAAGTGCCATCACAACAAAGATCAGCTGGAGTGTCCCAGCGAAGTGAAAGTGAGCATTGCCCCAAACAAGACCACGTGAGAAGCTCTTCAACTCTCTTAACTGTTTCACCTCCTCCACTTTCATTGTCCCTAGTGGCTCAGGAGAGATGACTGTTTTAATTCTTCACAAAAGGTAGTTGGCTTTTATTTTTGGAGGTTGCAAGTGAAACTTGCAGGAGAACAGCTATTTCCAATTCCAGTAGGTTTATACAGATCCTGGAACAAACACAGATCTTGCATGTAGTTAGAAGCCTTCTCATCACCTTTACCTGAGCCATTTTCCCTCCTTTCCAGGTGCTGCAAATTTACAGTAATTCTGAGCTAGCAAATGTTCACATGTGGCTCCACTCAGACTACATATTACCAGCCAAGGTCAAAAACATTTTTTAAAAAAAGCATTAAATTCACACAAATCATGAGGCTGACTGTCAACTGAGGAATGAAATAAATAAGAGTCATTTTGGCTTTGGGGGGTTCTGTTGTTTGCTTGCTTGTTTACTTAGGGCTTTATTTGTTTGTCTGCTTGCTTATTTGCTTGGGGGTTGGTTTGTCTTTTTAACTTGTTGAAGCCTGGAAGTCTGGTTGAGGATTATCTTTATTTTGAAGAGCAAAAGAAGGCAGGAATTCCAATGCTCTGACTTTGTAGAATTATAGGACCTTTGGAATGGAGGGATCTGGGAGATCTCATCCACCCTGCTCCTTGAACACTTCAGCTTTTCTAGGCAAGCTTTGAAAATCTCAAAGAAAAGAGGTTTGCCCCTTCTCTAAGTATCTGGGAAAGAAGTTTTTCCTACTGTATAATCTGAATTTCTTGTGCGCAGCTTGATCATGTCACCCAGCCCCTCTAATTTAGTAACACCTCAGCTTAGAAACAGAGTCTTGACTCACCACGAAGGCTGACACAGACACATCAACAGAGAAACACACACAGATGTCTGCTGGCTTGGATCTGGAGCGGTTGTCAGAGCTCCAGGATTCCAACCAAGCCTAGGGAGAGTGACCTGTAAGATCTCGGGCACACCTTTTTGTTCAACATGTCACCACCAAGCCCTGGGATTTGCTGAAGGCTGCCAGGCTCTACCTCCTGGCAAAGGAGGGGGAAGTCCAAAGGTTAAATCTTTCACCAGGGTTGGGTACCATATCACTGGAGATTGCACAGAAAACAACCCTTCACAAACTCAGAGCATGAGTGAAAACAGCACTTTCAAAAAAGACTTCCTACAGCAATACCAGCACTCAAGCAGATCCAACTCACAAGACCCCAGAATTTGCATTTGTTACTGAGAAAGGATGATTACCCAGCACATATCCCAACTTAGCAAAGATCAGTGCTCGACATTTGGTTCATCTCAGAGCAAAACAATGGATTTGCCTGAACTTTGAATGTCCTTCAGCCCACTGCCGACATCATCATTCCCTGGCTTGTGCTGGATAGGCACAATGTACAAATTACCATTGAATAGAAGAGTAAAATTAATGACAGAATTCTGTTTATGGAGGTTTCAAGACAACCAAAAAAGCGACTCATGCAAATGCAATGTACAACAGTGTTTACAGGAAACCTTGCTGCCTTGGACTTGGGCAAAAGCATTTGACTGGTGATTTTGTCTCGGCAGCAACTGAAAACAGATCCCAGCAAGGCGAGGAGGGCAGCAAAGACTTGCAGATGCAGCCACTCTCCACCAGACAGGAGCCTTGTCCTGCCAGGGCCTGCAGTGCAGACAGCTAGCCAGACACATGCTCTCCCTTGGATTTGGCTTCTTTTTACTGGCATTGACAAGGGAAGTGGAGTAAAAAACCACAGAGTTTAATTTCCAGCCTCTGGGGCTAAAGGCACAGTTCTAAATAGCAGGAAGCTAAACTTGGTGCCTGGTGTGGAGGTATCCACGGAGAATAAGCTGTGATCATCAGTTCCTGTACACTCCTGGATTGTTTAGCACCCAAGACTGCTCCTTAGCATCCCAGATCAGGCTACAAGCAAGAAAATGCCCTGGGCCCAACTTGGTGATCCTCTTCTAGCAGTAGTGTTCCTGAGCAGGATCATTTCTCTCTCCATCCCAGCATTTTAACCCACACAGGACAAAGGCAAGAAGGTGGCAGTTTTAAGCCACCTTTACAGCCAATGGCCAAGTCATGTCCTTGCTGCCCTGGCCCCAGGGATGCAGGGATGAGCTGTATTCTCCAAACCTGGCCAAGATGTTGGCAGCCCCAAACCATCTCAGTATCCTCTTGAAGGTCTTCTGCACAGGAACTTGAACTTTCCTGACTTTCAGCGCCTGATTTTTAGCATCTTGCCCCATGAATCAATTGGCCTAAGGGCCAAATGTGACAGCAGCAGCTCTGATGGAAATACAGCCAGTATGGTCAACACAAGACAAATTCTCCTTCTCCTCCCCTGAGTGAGAAGTCTGGCTGAAAATGTCTGCAGGAGCCCAAGTGTGGTAGAGATTAACCCCATTCCCAGCTATGCTCCACTGAGCACCAGCTCGGGGCCAGCTCCTTTGTACCTGTAGTGATAATGCACCACTAATGACAGATGGCATGAGCTGGCACTGCACTTTTATCTAAAGGCTCCTTCTGCATCAATTATAGACTACACTACAGGTAGCATTTGGCCACTGACAAGCCATCTTTGAAAAACAAAATTAATTTTAAAACAGGGGAGGAACAGGTTATGAAGAGGCAATCAGTTTTCTTGGGTAGGATAAATAAACTTTGAATAGACATATATTTCAGGGAGACTACCATGAAAATGAGCCAGGAGATAAATATCTTGTGGTAAAACTGCAGATTAGTCCATTAGCTGTGCATTAAGTCTTGACACTTATTCTCAGCAGTTTTGGAGTATTTATAGTTGCCTTCCTGGTGTATCTTTCCTGAGGCCTATTTATCTAGAGATCTCTGGAAAAAAAATAGAGCAGGAAACCTGAGAACATATTTAAAAAATCATAAAGGCTCACTGTTTATGTTATTTGGGCAGAAATCTTTTCTTAATCTTTCTTGCTAGAATGGGAAGCAAGGCTAGCATAT